TCTCTCTCTCTCTATATATATATATATATATATATATATATATATATATATATATATATATATATATATATATATATATATATATATATATATATATATATATATATATATATATATATATATATATATATATATATATATATATGGAAGGGTTCAGGTGTGGGTATAGCTTCCCGTGCGGTTGTGCGGTTAGATCTGAGCCGTTGATCAAATTTAGATCAACGGCTCAAATCAATGAAAATTAAAGGGATAAAGTACATATAAGCCACTGAACTATTTGGAAAACAGCAATTAAGCCATCGAACTCAAATAACCATCAAATAAGCCATTGATCCCGGAAAAAAAGAGCAAATAAGTCATTGAACCCTGAAAAAAAGAGCAATTAACATTTTTTATAGGTTAACTCCAAGTTTTTGCTGATTGGATTGCCAAATGTTTATTTTCTTTACGTTTATTATTTTTTTTTATTAATATTATCCACTTGGATAGTATTATATTTAAAAATAATTATAATCAAAATAGTTTTATTGAGATTTGATTTGTTTATTTATTATTATTTTTTCACTAGATCTTTTGTTTAAAAAAATAATAAATAAATAAATTAGATCTAGACAAGACGAAACTACTTTGATTATAATTACTTTAAAATATATTACTATGCAGATGGATTATAATAATAAAAAAACGTAAATAAAATAAACATTTGGCAATCCAGTCAGTAAAAACCTGGAGTTAACCTGTTAAAAATGTTAATTGCTCTTTTTTTTTTTTTTTCGGGTTCAATGGCTTATTTGGGGGTTATTTGAGTTCGATGGCTTAATTGCTTTTCCCCAAATAGTTCAGTGGCTTATTTGTACTTTATCCCAAAATTAAAAAAAAAAAAAAAGCGTGCGTGTCTGTAAGAAATAAGCATAAGCTAAAAATGGCGCACCTTAAGTGTAACACCCCCGATTTCCATACCGATTTAAAACTTAATCACGCAGATAATCTAACCATAAAAAACATACACAGCGGAAGTCTAGATATGAAATAGATGGAAAACGTAGAGTGTTATGCCACGCCCACACTATGGTGAACGCACAGACGTAAACAACATCAACATAATCTGTCTACAAAGGATAAGGTCAAACGACAACAAGTCTAAATCCAACATAGGCACACAGGCCAAAACAACTACAAGGTCTCAGGGATCTATGCTAGCCATCAATAGACCGCGCTCGTCTCTACTCGGAACCTGAAAGAAACACATAAATATATGGGACGACGCCCGGTCAGCGAATGATGCTGATAACCCACCAATACATGTGAAATATCATACATAGATAGGATATATATACAAAATCATTTGCGAAACAGAATATAGTATATATAAGTTCAAAGCCAAGAGTAGAAGTCAATCACAAGACTCAATATCACTCTCAACAAAGACACGGGAACACATCTCAAGACCACAAGAAGTACAAGGACACACAAGAACGGCTCAAGGCGTATTCTACCATCACTCAGTAGAACATCACCCGACATGCATAACACAAGAGAATAAGAGACACACAAAGGCAACACATGCCTTCGCGACATTACTCGTCACGAATATAGACACAACGGCAACACTTGCCTTCGTGACATCACCCATCACGAATTAGTATGCCTTCCTTATGCCCGATTCCAACCTTATAGCTACCCTCAACCTTATAGCTAGTTCCAACCATTACCTCCAAGACCCATGTACATCCAATTCCAACATTTTCCCTCCTGGGACCGTCGTCCCCCACCAACGATTCCACCGATTCATAGTACACGAGGTACCGAACACACACATGGCAACACATGCCTCCCAAGAAATACGTGAACCCATCACTAAGGTCACAAACTCCATAATCGCGTCATGGCCACCACGAGGACCACTGCCGTACCTTGGTGACTAATGTCTCATACCATTAATCGTGCAATCCCGATACAGCCACACACACGACACCATCATAGGAATCAATCAACGGATCACAACGAAGATATGAAACCATACTCAATCAAGGAAATGATCACAATCCGACAACAATGATGATCAACACAAGTCATCATCCACAATAGGAAAGAACAAACCACACACGCTAGCATTTGAACACCGAACTAGCATGCTTATCAAACGGGTAAAGTAAACATAGTTCCGAAGAACACACAAGACTCATCATGGTTCAACGAATCACAAGGTTGAACACTTAGCATGATTCAAGACACTAAAACCTACATGGAATCCTACCATATAGTTCTAGACATACGAAACATCAAGAAGACACTCAAATAGTTCCACTAAAGAACATCGGGAAGTCAAAAGATCAAATACCGAGTCAAAAGAATCGCGGGGAACAAATCCCCAACAACGCCATATATGTACCCCGCGGGAACACACTCCCACACACCACGTACCCCGCGGGTGGGGCGGCGGGTGGACGCCTACCCGCCATTCCGCCCGCGGGTACAATGCCCTGTACAAAATAATCCCTTCGGGGATTTTCAACTCCAAGCTCAAATTCAAGTCCAAAACATGCCAAATCTCACCAAACACAACAAAATGACTTGAATCAAAGGAATAACCAAGCAATGACACACATGAACCCTAATAACAAGCTCTAGATATGCATTTTCACAAGACAATGCATCAACACTCACATTTCATAGCAAAATCACATGTAGAATCCAATAAATCATCATATAGGTAAGCAAAATAGATTTTGTAGAGCATGAGTTACCTCTTGTAGACAAAAACCTTCACTTAACACTTCTCAAAGCCCCTAACAAGGTTCACCTTCCACACCCACTTAAAGAACACACCAAAAGATCATAAAGATTTCATCTTTAGGAAAAGATACCTTAGAAAACACTAAAAACACAAAAGGAACATAGATCTTACCCTCCTAGATGCTCAAGAGTAGGAAAGGTGGAATCTTGGAGACAAATTTTGAAGATCTTGGAAAGCCTAATCTTAGCTTGGAGAGAAAGCTAGCTAGGTTTTTAGAGATAAGTAAGAGCTTTTGATTTCAAAGTGTTAGGAGAGAAATGAGAGATGTCTTCTAGGTTAGCTTGGAATACAATCATAAGGGAAATGTCTTCTTTGCCCTTACTAAGATGAGAAAGTGTAAGGGAACAAGGGAACTATTCATAAAGCTTTAGGTACAACATTTGACTTGGGTTGACTAGTCAATTATTAGTCCCCGACTATTGAATTTTCAGGAATTTAAAGAATTAAATTACCAATTATATTAGGATTAATTACTTAATTAATCCCTAAATAGAATTTGGATTACGGGGTGTCACGTTAAGTGTTAGATCTTAAGCACAAACTCACGCACGTTAAGTACAAAACCCACACACATTAATCACAACCTCACGCACATTAAGCACGAAACCTACACACTTTAAATATTAACTCACAGACTTTAAGTTTCAACAACTACTGTTAAGCACAAACTCACGCACATTAAGTACAAAACCCACGCACATTAAGCACAAATCCCACGCGCTTTAAGTATTAACTCACAGACCTTAAGTTTTAACAACTACTGACATTAATCACTAACCTCACACACATTAAGCACAAACCCTACGCACATTAAGCACAAACTCCACTCACATTAAGAACAAATCTCACGCACCTTAAGCACAAAAGTCCACACTTTAAGTTTTAGCAACTACTCGCGTTAAGCACAACCCCACTCACATTAAACACAAAACTCACGCACTTTACGCACAAACCTCACGCATCTTATATACAAAACTCACGCACATTAATCACAGATCCGCTCACCTTAATTTTGACCTAGATGCAAAAATTACAAATTTGCTACCACATTTTTTTTAAAAAAAATTTTGGCAATAGCCCAATTAGTACATAGAATTAATTCTTTACGCACAAACCTCACGCGTTTTTTTTATTTTTTAAATCTTGGTCAGTTAGTACATAGAATTAATTCCTTAATTATAAAATGTTATACCTTAGTTAAAATATATGTGTGTATATATATATGGAATTATAAATTTTGTATGTTTTATTCAAAAGGAAAGTGTAAGTAAGAAAATTATATAAGAAAATTATGTTACTAAATAATAATTATTCTTGTACATTAATTTGTAAAAAAATTTATGGACAGAATTTTTAATTTGGTAATTACTATGTTGTACAAAATTATTAATTTTTGAATCTTTTACGCAGAATTTCATACTCGATTGATAAAATATTTAAGATGATATAAATAATGTAAATTTCAGTATTTAATGATTTAAGAGATAAAATTAATGTCAATGTGTACAACTGTACCAGGATCTAATTCCTTTTGAGCATAATCTTCCCAATGGAACAACATTATTAATTTGAGATGAGAGAGTGATTGATTGCTTGACTTAACAAACCTTTTTGGTTACTAAGGGGTCGTTTGGTTCACAGAATGTAAGATTACCTTAAGGAATGTTAGATTGCTGGGAATGTTAGATTACTGAGAATGTTAGATTCCTGTGTTTGGTTAAAATTGGGGTATATAATATAATGATGTTTGGTTTAGGGTTATCTTTTATACACACTATAATATCCTTAACATATTTTCATATATTTTAATAAATTTAAAAATTAAAATAAATAAATAAGATAACGGTATCATATATAATCACATGATTTTAAAATATTAACTAAAATCTTGAACTTGAGAAACAAAATTATTTTATAAACTAACATAACATAATAAAAATAAAAAAAAAAAAAAATATATATATATATATATATATATATATATAATATAATTAACATAACCAAGGTTATCTTAGATTACCTAAGATTTTGAAGGGAATCACATTCCCTTCAAAATCCTATGTGGAGGGAATGTGACATTCCTTGGGAATGTTAGATTCCCTGAGATAATATGAACCAAACACCGGAATGTGAGCCTTTGGAATGTCACATTCCCTTGGTTATCTTATATAACCTGAACCAAACGCCCCCTAAAAGTTGGACTATTGTTTAAGTCGTAGTCGGACACGCAAAACGGGAAAACTGAAACAAGATAAGGCTTCCGACCCATTCTGATGTCAGCATCCTCCAAAATCCCGATATTATAGGACTGCGACGTTTTCACTTTTCATCTAACTCCCATCCCAAACAAAGCACTCTCTCTGCTCCGTACTTCCAGTTTTGCATATTGCTTCACACGGAATTGCACAAATATGGGGGCTGCTAAACAACCTCTCGTCTTTGCTTACTATGTCACCGGCCATGGATTCGGACACGCTACTCGTGTTGTCGAGGTAAGATTATGTGATTCAGTTTTTTGTTTGATTTTTCCAGGAAATGATCATATGATGATGATGATGTTTGTAGTATGTTAATTCGTGGTGATAATGATGGCTTGTTGGAGGCGAAGGGGAAATCCCCTAATCAAGGATTGTTAACTTCATTGTTTATGTGTTTGGCTAAGATTATAAGATTATGAACTGTACAACACTTTTAAGCTTGTTTTCCGATTCTCTTTTCCCGGGTTAGGTTGTTCGGAATCTCATTCTCGCTGGACATGATGTGCATGTGATCACTGGTGCGCCAGACTTTGTTTTCACATCTGAGATACAGTCCTCTAGACTTTTTCTTCGCAAGGTTAGCAGGACGTTAAATTCCGACTGTAGAGGCATCTGTGTTTAGCTTCTGCGATCATAAGTATTTTAACCTGTGATGTGATGAGATGATTGCAGGTACTGTTGGATTGTGGAGCAGTTCAAGCGGATGCTTTGACAGTGGATCGTCTTGCGTCGTTGGAAAAAGTATGGCTATTGTTTTCGCATGGTGCTGTAAATTGTACCATCACGCTTGATTGCCTGCTGTATTAACTCTTTGTTTGTGTTAATTGGTTCAGTATTCTGAAACAGCTGTTGTACCTCGTGCATCTGTTTTGGCTACGGAAGTGGAGTGGCTGAAATCCATCAAGGCAGACTTAGTGGTATTTGAAGTGATTTATCTTGCATTTCATTAACAAATTACCAGTGTTTTCTTCACTGTTTTTTACTGTACAAGTACTATGAGGACTTACATCTTGCTTGCGTTAGAAGTATTTTGTATACCATTAAAGGTGTTTAGCAGATAAAGAAAATGCATTTTGATTCATCTTTTGTTACCTAATCTTTCACACTATATATTCTGTTTTTTTTTTTTTTTTTCCTGATGTTGAAATAGTAGCATACTTGGTAGGAAAAAAAAAAATAAAAAATTCTATTATAGCATTATCCCTTTTTCTCTAATTAGTGGGATATTTTCCTTTAGACTTAAAGGGGAAACTACACACACTCTTCCAATGTTTTGGTCTGAGTGCATATGCATTTCCATGTGTTCTCTCTAAAGATTTGCAGAACTTTTACTTCAAATAAAATATTGTGTAATTGAACATGTATATTGCCATATTGGAGAGGAGTTATTAGACATTTATACCTCTTCCAATGGAACAGGTATCAGATGTTGTTCCAGTTGCTTGCCGGGCAGCAGCTGATGCTGGGATTCCCTCTGTTTGTGTCACCAACTTCAGGTTATTGAATACTCACTTCTTATAAAACATTTCTCTTTAGCAAAGTTCATTATTTCATGCTGTGTTCTGTCAAGTGTAATTGCTTAATTCTACAAATAAAATTATATTCTTTGTTACAACATAAAGTGGTATTCTGCCTTGTATTTTATTTCTTATAATTGTTTCTGTTGCAGCTGGGATTTCATCTATGCTGAATATGTCATGGCAGCTGGAAATCATCATCGGTCAATAGTTTGGCAGGTGAACTAATGCAAGCTTTTTGTTGGTTATGTTGATGCTGTTCTATTATTAGCTTTTCATTGGAGATTGAAATAGGTCCCATAGGCTTTTCTCACCTTCTCCACTATTCTCTTTATGTTGTTTATGGAAAGAATGGAGGAAATAATGTAATCAAGAAAAATCTCTGCAAAATGAAAAATTTGTAAAAAATTAGTGATCAAATAACAATTTTTCTTGAAAGTCTAATTGATTTATAAATAGCTAGTAGTGGAAGAAATATAACTACATAATGATAAACTATAAAGTTTAAACTGACTTCTCTGTGAACTGAGGTTAAACTGCTTAAATCTTCAGTACCTTTACCCTTTTATTGCACATGGAAGCAACCTATTTTATCTTGTGTTTTCTTTTTCACCCTTTTTGGCCAATATGCTCATTTACAGATTTTTGAATTATGTAATGGTTAACAAAGTAATATACAGAGTAACAATTAATGGAGTACAATTTTCTTTTGTGTCTCGATTCTCTTCTCATTCTTGAATTTAATTATTTTTTGTTTTTTTTTTTTTGTTTTTTGTTTTTTGTTTTTTGTTTTGTTTTGTTTTTTTTTTTGTTTTTTTTTTTGGTTGTCAGTTCTGTTAACTTTCATTTTATACTGTTTAAAAAAAATTCATTACTGACTTGTTTCATTTTACATTATAAGTTCCAAACATCCTAAAAGTTTCTTACTATTAGTCTTTTATTGGATATAGATTGCAGAGGATTATTCTCATTGTGAATTCCTTATCCGGCTCCCAGGATTCTGCCCAAGTATGTTTGCTTGCTCATTCATTGGGAGTTTTTGTTTTGTTATTCTTTTGCTTCTTGTAACATATGAACTTTAAATGCTAAAAAATGTCTAACGGTGTCAATCCCGTCTGAAATAACATCACAGTGCCAGCTTTCCGAGATGTAATTGATGTACCTCTGGTTGTCCGAAGATTGCACAAATCCCGTGAAGAGGTCTGAGTGAGAATGTTTGATCCAGTTTAGCACTGGTATATTACTTTTCAGATGTTGGTTTCAAATGATATTATTTTCCTTGTAATGCTCTAGGTGAGAAGAGAACTTGGAATTGGAGAGGACGTGAAGGTTGTAATTCTCAACTTTGGAGGGCAGGTGTGTCCTCCTATCTTCAGTTTCTCTGATTGTATCTGATATACACAACTGTTTAGATTGTCAGATATCTTCAGGAAAGTTCTGGTTGCATTTCCACTTTCTAAAAGTGGTCTTTGTGTGTGCTATACATATACACATTAATAAATTTATGTATTGCAGCTCCTTATCTACTTGCAAAATTGTAGTATTATTTTGTTCTTCAGCACTTTCTCCTTCATCCAGAGCATCCCAAAGTTAGATTCATTTTCCACTATTTTAGCCTGAAGGGAAAGATATGGAAACAGCATATATACTTTATCTCCCATTTTTGAGCCAACAAAATATTATTTATAGTTGGTGTGGTCTTCAATGGTTAAGAGATGAAGTATTGAAGTATTGGGGACCACTTTTTTGGGGTTTTATTAGATGCTTGTATTTATTAGGTATTTGTGGTTTCTATTATTCCTTGGTACTTGTATATGTCCTTCATGTAACATGATATCAGAAATAGTCTCAAGAAATGTATCATTTGTGAGGTTTAATCTTGAAAACATATACCATTTTTTAATTCTGCAATTATCCATTTACAGCCTGCAGGTTGGAAGTTGAAGGAGGAGTACTTACCTTCTGGTTGGCTCTGTCTGGTACCTCCTTTTCCACTTTACTCTCCTCGACAATATATCATGGTATTTCAGCAATTTGGTTTACATTTTGGTTGTATGAATTCAGGTTTGTGGTGCTTCTGATAGTCAGCATTTGCCTCCAAACTTTATTAAGCTTGCAAAAGATGCTTACACCCCTGACCTTATGGCAGCTTCTGACTGTATGCTTGGTTAGTGAAAACTTTTTCAGACTCATTTGTATCCAGATAGAAAATAGTGCTGTTTCCCTTAATCTTCTGGAGTGGACAACTACTACAGGAAAAATTGGATATGGTACTGTCAGTGAGGCCCTGGCGTACAAGCTACCATTTGTCTTTGTGCGTAGAGACTACTTTAATGAAGAACCTTTCCTAAGAAATATGCTTGAGGTACAATATTTTGACTTTGTAGCATTTTCTCGTCGTCATAGATCTCTCTTTATTAGCTGATGATGTACTTTAACATGGAATCATAAAAATATCATTTCAACCAGTACTATCAAGGTGGTGTCGAGATGATCAGAAGGGATTTACTTACTGGGCATTGGAGACCTTACCTTGAACGTGCAATTAGTCTGACACCTTGCTATGAGGGGGGCACTAATGGTGGTGAGGTACCCCTCTTATTTCTTATTAAACTTGTTCTTTTAACACGATCTCCAATCATGAGTTCCTAGGCAAGAATTTCATATTAAGGGTGGATCATTATCTTACACCCAATCCTCTAACCATCTTGGAGGCATATAACCATTGTGACAAATTTAAATTCAAATATATTTTTGAAACTGGAGTATTTCACTTATTCATTTTTGATCCATCATAATTTGTTATTGGTTTTAAAATTAAAATGTTTTTCATTGTTCACATTTTGACTTTTTACCATCCCTGATAGTGTTGCCCTCTTATATTTACTCTCAAGTAGTATGACCCTTCCCCAGTAGTTGGATTAGTTATTAGATGTGATATTTATACCAAACACTAACATGTTGATGTTATTTTTATATGTTAGATCTTCACAAGGAGTCATTTTGGTCTTCTTTCCTTCAGAAAATGAATGGGTAAAACAGGAAATATTAGGACTAATTGAGAAGGAAAAAAAAAGGAACAGAAAATATTAGAATGTCATTTCATTATACTGATGAAGTTCTTATTTTTCTTTGTTTTATTTGGCAACAGAGAAACTGGGGGTTTGGGTAGGAGGTGGGGTTATACAAATGACTTGAGGGGCATGCATACAAAGCTGAAGTTTGAGTTTCTTTTAGAGTGATTGTGTGAATGGGAAGGGATACCTGTAGTATTGAACAAATACATGTGTGGAAGAAACTAATAACTTCAGGAACATGACAATTTGTTCTCACCAACGACCTCTGAAATATATACACTCTTATGTTTTTAAGCACATATTTTGTAATGATTTTATAAATAGCACACTTTTTGTTCTAATATATTGTATTTCAGGTTGCGGCTAGTATTTTGGAGGATACTGCTACTGGTAAAAACTATACATCAGATAAGGTATATGGAAAGCTATCCCCTTTTATCCATTTCAACAATTAGTTATGTTTAAATAGACATTCCTTTCTATGATACCTTTTATTTTGTTTTTAAGAGAAGCTTGCGTAGTTGTTTGCTTTTCATTTTTTGGTGGGTTTGTATTTACACATTTTGCTACCGTTATTATTTAACATGATGTAGTCATTTGCATCTATTTATATTTTTAAATTGAAGGCATAAGAAATTTGCTAGCATGAATGAGTCATGATTCATAAGAAGACTCTGAACTGAACCATAAATGCATGTTTCTATTTTGCTTGCAATGTAGCTAAGTGGGCCAAGAAGACTACGCGATGCTATAATTCTTGGATATCAATTGCAAAGAGTACCTGGAAGAGATCTTTTGGTGCCAGATTGGTATGCAAATGCAGAAAATGAACTTGGCCTTCGCCCTAGATCACCACCTTCTGTAAAAGAAGACATTAATTCTGTAACGACCTTGTAAGTTTTCTGCTACCTTGTTGCCAGTCCATGTCAATGTATCTGCTGGAGGCTCAGAAAACTGATTTTTTGGCATTGAAATTCTAGACACCCCAAAAACTTTGAAATTCTACATGGCGATTTTCTCGGACTGTCAGATACAGCAAGCTTCTTGAAGAGCTTAGGAGAATTAACCTATGATTCTCCACTGAATACTGAGAAGCACCAGAAGAGGGAGCAAAAGGCTGCTGCTGGTCTCTTCAACTGGGAGGTCAGGCTTTTTTCATTTAAATATTGCATAGTTTCAGTTGATTGATCAATTTCTGTTGAAGCTGAATGCCCCTCCTATTCAACACCTTCTGTCCTAAATCATTCCAATAAAAGTAATTTTAGGCTTGTTGGTTCAGTGGCTCACATTCATGTGGAACACTGCAATTTTATTTTATGCATGTATGGTCCATCAACTTGCTACTCATCCGTGGTATCTTAGTCTTGATAATAAAAACATGTTTCTTTGGAGGTTTTGAATCTGTTGTTTGAATATATACACATGAATGCCTAGTAGTGCATTGTGTTGCAATTTTAGTATATGCTTCATATTTCCAAAAAACATCTGAAAGTTTCCTGTTCCTGCCCTTTTCTTGTAATTTTTGTGAATTATGTAGTTCCTTCTCTTATTCAGCTTTGTTATTTTTGGCCATTTGCTTTCCTTTGCATGCATTGACTGTCTTAGTCTTCTTATTCCTTTTTGTCTATAGGAAGACATCATTGTGACAAGGGCTCCTGGAAGGCTAGATGTCATGGGAGGAATTGCTGACTATTCTGGGAGCCTTGTTTTGCAGGTATGGACTTTTGTCTTGCTTAATCTGTTGCTTGACCCCTATTCACGTACATTATATTAGTATTTTACAAAATCTGCTATTTTTAAATTTTTTTTTTTTTTTTTTAAATTAAAGTCTTCAATAAAAGATACATATCTCTTCTATCTGTGCCATAAAGAGAGCCTAGGCTATTTGGGTAAGCTGTTATGGTCTTAAGCATGATCTACTAAGTTGGCTTGAAACAAAGAATAAATCTCTCCTCATGTCTAGTATACTACTGCAGTCCTCTCGGCTTGCTGCATACTCACCATGATTGTTGTTGTTAACTAGTATTCAGTAACTGTAAGTTTATTGTTGATCTTATTAGTGTCACTGTCTTTTTTATCGGATTCCTTCACACTTACAGATGCCAATCAAAGAGGCCTGCCACGTTGCTGTACAAACAATTCATCCAAGTAAACAGAAATTGTGGAAGCATGCTCAGGCTCGACAACAGGCCAAAGGACAGGGACCGACCCCAGTCCTGCAAATTGTATGTAATTTTATTTTTGGATACATCTGAAGGGAATGGGGGACTGAACCTGAGACCTCTTAGTTTTTGCAAGTCAAGTTAAATAAAAGAGATTGCACCTGCTTGAAATATATGTAGTATGCATTAATATATTATTTTGTTGATGGTTATATTCTGAATTGTGTGATTGACTTTGAAATGCCATCACACCCTACCGTAACAAGCTTTTATTTATGATATTATTAGGATTAAGAAGTGTATTCTTTTAGAAAGTTCTACAGACTTGGTGTGCAGCTTAAATTCCATCCATTGAAAACACTGTATGAAGTGTGTTATAGTATGGCATGTCTTTGGTTGTTAACCTCTAATAGATGCCTTGTTCTGTTAACATTTGTCCTTATTAGGTATCATATGGATCAGAACTAAGCAACCGTGGTCCCACCTTTGACATGGATTTATCAGATTTTTTGGACAGGGAAGAACCAATGTCGTATGAGAAGGCAAGGGAATACTTTTCCCGAGATCCATCTCAAAGGTTTTTAACTCTTCTGTAATCTCTTTTGTACTGACTTGTTGATTGGATGTTTATGTTGTACTAATTTGATTCCTGTTTTAGATGGGCTGCATACGTTGCAGGAACAATTCTTGTTTTGATGAAGGAACTAGGAATTCGCTTTGAAAATAGTATTAGCATGCTGGTAAGTCTATCTGCTAATTTGGAGCTTGGCATTTTGTTTGAAAATTTAGTGCATTTTCTTCTGGTTTTTTATTTTTTTATTTTTTTATTTTTTTATTTTTTATTTTTTTTATTTTTTTTTTAAATTTTTAAATCATCTCTAAAAATTAAATTAAATGTTGATGGTTATATCCATTTTAAGAGATTCATGTTTATGTCTGAGGTTATTATGTTGATCATGCAAATTGGTGTGAGGGACTGACCGCTAAGGTGAAGCTATCTTATCAATGAAGAATTTCAAGAAAACAAAAATTAGTATGCCTGTGGTTTTTTCCCTGGCAAGATTCATTATGCATTATGTCAATAACTGGAGTTCAAATAATGGTTTATATGTTACAGTTTCCTGCCTTGTTGATTTCTTGAATTGAATTGAAATGCCAGTACCTCAACTCGGTTAAACGGTCTACCTTTTGAATCATATCATTCACTCAATATATTTTCCTATCAAATTGGAGGATACCCTTGCATTCTCAAATTATAATTTTCCATCAGTTCTGAACCTTGCATATTATATAGTATTGGGTAGTTCTTTCTTAAGAACATTTCTCATCTGGAAATCCTTTGCCATAGCTTCAAAAATGTAATGTCTGGGCTGATGGCAGTTCCCTTCTTGGGTGGTTTTGTATGATGTTGTAGGTTTTCAAGGCTTATTATTCTAGAAATGATTATTTGGACTCAGTTTCTTAGTTATTGGCATCCCGCTTTCCATAGTTCTTTAGTTGGATGGATTGGGTTCATGATTTGATTGATTTCTATGATAGCACTTTCTATCTACTTTTAGTATGTCAAATTGCTGTGGCATGCAATTCCAAAGCAGAACGTATTATTTATTTGTGGGATTGGCTTGAATTGCAGCACTGTTTAAGTACTGAAATCAGTTCTCTTCAAATGCCTCTTAATTTGCCCTGAAGTTTAACCAATGCATATTTTTAGGTCTCTTCGACTGTCCCAGAAGGGAAAGGTGTGTCTTCCTCAGCATCGGTGGAGGTTGCTAGCATGTCTGCAATTGCTGCAGCTCATGGTACTTACATATTTTGGTCTTTTCTTTCATATTCATTGCTAGTAGAATTATGTATGCTGTATCACCATGGTTAGCTATCACTTAGTGTCTTTATTTCCCTGCTAGTTGTTTTTCTTTCGTGCTCTAAATGAACAACATTGTTTATACATCATGCTTATTTAAACTACCAGCATCACTTAAATTAGCCTCTTTTTTCTTTCCTGTTAGTGGAATTAGGCATGCACTACTCCTAAGGAACTATTTAGGACCCACATTTAGTATAATGTACAATGTTACCTGATACATATCTTTATCCTTTTTTCTTTTCAAGTAACCATAATATCACCTAGCTGCGTCATTAATTTTGACTTGCAGGATTGAATATCAGCCCAAGGGACCTTGCCTTGCTATGTCAAAAGGTTAGGTTCCACTTGGCTTTTTCACCAATAGTTTCATTTTCCTAGTTCTGTCCTTAAATTTCCTGCGTCTCTTTTAGGTAGAGAACCATGTTGTTGGAGCTCCATGTGGTGTAATGGACCAGATGACTTCTGCATGTGGCGAAGCAAACAAGCTTCTTGCTATGGTTTGCCAGGTATCTGAATAATTGATAGGGACTTCTTCATGTGTTTTGAGCTAAATCTTAAGGTTATCTTCTTTCGGTTTCACAGCCTGCTGAGGTACTAGGCCTTGTGGATATTCCTGACCACATTAGAGTTTGGGGAATTGATTCAGGAATAAGACACAGGTATTCAGTTTAAATCCTAAAGCTCCCCAATCCTTTTCGTTTAATAACATTAGTATCATATGTCTTGACAACTTTCTGAAGTTATATATAGCATGTCTGCACTCTGCTCTTCATTACCAGGAAAAAAGTACATCAAACCCTTAGACTAGGATTGAATCCTTTTCCTTTAAATAAAAGTGTAACACAACCACTCGATAGCTATGCAATGGATATTCAAGTTCGTTGTGTGCACACGAATACATGGCCTTAACTACAGCATCTGTACTTTCATGTTGCAGACATGAATTTAGTCTCTCCTTCCCTCCCCGCTTTTTTACTCCTGCAGAAAACCAAACCTAACCATACATATTTGCAGTGTGGGAGGGGCAGATTACAAATCTGTAAGGGTTGGAGCATTTATGGGTCGAGAGATTATCAGGTCTATTGCATCATCATTTTTCAGTCAGTCGCCTTCAGCTAATGGGGTGACCCATGATGAGCCAGAGGAAGATTGCGTCAAACTACTTGAAGCAGAGGGTTCCTTAGATTACTTGTGCAATCTTTCTCCACACAGGTAAAAGTTTGTGATGCTTTAGTTTCTACCCTATTTGGACTTCCTATGTTCTGTTCCTTTTTTGCTGATTTTTCTATAAAACATTTTGATCTACAGATACGAAGCCCTTTATGGAAAAATGCTACCCGAATCTATGTTTGGTGATGCATTCCTTGAAAAATATGCAAACCATCATGATCCTGTCACTGTAATTGACAAGACACGTAACTATGGAGTCAGGGCGGCTACCAGACACCCTATATATGAGAACTTTCGTGTGCAGGTAAATAATAATTTGAAACACTCTTTATATACTGACAGGTACACTATATATGGATGAGGATTTTTTTGAATTAGAGAACATCCCTCTCATTTGCTTTTTTTTTTTAACCCCTTAGCTATGATTATTTCCAACTGTTCTGAACTTACAATTTTACCACTATTTCGTGTTCAGGCCTTTAAAGCATTGCTAACATCTGCAACTTCAGATGATCAGCTTTCTTCTCTTGGAGAACTATTGTATCAGGTACTAGGTTGTTTTTGGTTCTATAGGGTATTATAAATGTATCATATTTAGAAAGTGTGTGGTTGATAAAAAATGCTTATAATACTAATACAATAGTGTGGGTGGGTTGTGCAGTGCCACTATAGTTACAGTGCATGTGGACTAGGGTCAGATGGAACAAATAGGCTCGTTCAGCTAGTACAAGAAGTGCAGCATGTTAAGGCATCAAAATCTGCTGAAGGGACTTTATATGGTGCAAAAATCACGGGCGGAGGATCTGGTGGAACTGTTTGTGTAATTGGCAGAAATTCTCTGCGCAGCAGCGAAAAGATTCTTGAGGTATAAATAATTCTCTAGGCATGATGTCAAATAGGGGTCGGGTATTAGTCTGAGTAGGGTGCCCAACTCAACTCTCCCGAACCCTTTAATAGGTTGAGTATGTATGTCGTATAACTAACTCAAATTCGGACTACTAATGAATTAATTGTTTGTATAGATTCAGCGAAGATACAAAGCAGCAACTGGGTATTTGCCAATTATCTTTGAAGGTTCATCTCCTGGTGCCGGAAAGTTTGGGTATCTAAGAATTCGCCGCCGCATCCCTTCCCACCAAACCTGATTTGGCTCGGTTCACCCACCATTTATTTAGTGTAAAAGACCTACCTGCTAGGATATTAATTTATAGTATAGGATGTATACATACATATTAGTATCTAGTGAATGCTTCGCATTACACGTAAGCAATAATATAGAATGAAAATTATGATTGTCAACTTTCAGTGAAGAGAAGCAATAAAATATGTAGTAGGCATGATTCTTCTTTTTTTTTTTTTTTTAATTAAATTTTGAGTCCAATTTATTCAAATATTGTAATATGCCATAATGATATTGTTTCAATCTTGATAGACGAAATTTTGCTACATATACATCTTGTTTGAAAATTCATGGATAATAAATAGTGAATTGTGTTAGCAGTTTTTAATCAAATTGTATTAATAATTTATAAAAAAAATATTTGGTAAAATTAGATATTTATTTTTGACAGTTAACATTTGTTCCTCATGCATGTATCTCACATGAAAATTTTAAAAAATTTGAAGGGGCTGCCTTGCTCCTCGCTCCCCTTTTTTCCCATCCAATTTGAATGGATGTATCCAACATCAAATGAGTAGTTCTCAAATGATTGAGACTCAACATTAATTAGTGTTGTTTTTGTTGAGCATATAATATACATAAACATAAATGTGCAATTTAATCCAATTCAACATGGTAGTTTAAGTGGCAAATGAATTTCTTTGGTGGGGAGAATTTTGAGATAACCCGGATTCGATTCCCACAAGTAACGATTCCTTTTGGGTCAGTTCCTGCTTCTCTTCCCTTGGAATGAACCGGAAACTTAGACCAATTAATTGTTTTAAGCGCATTTGAAGCAAAAAAAAAAAAAAAAAAAAAAAAAAAAAAAAAAAAAAAAAGAGGTTATTCTAAATGTCATTTCAAATTGTAGTTTCTTGTCTTTTACTCCGTAACAATTTAGAGCAAAGACACTGCTCCAAACTATAAAGTACCAACCATTAAATTTAACATTTTGAATCAAAACAATGAAAGCAAGTCTAACGTTACACGCACACCTGATATTTCTCCCGTTGCAAATTTTAGTTGGCTTTTTCTTTAGAAAGTGAATAGTGATTAATTGCAAATTTAGTTATATGACATTTTAAAAGTGAGAGCAAATTTTATGGATGCAGATAGCCTAAGCTGCCTAACTTTGGGATTCACCAATAACCAAACAATGATGAACTCTAACCATTAAAAGTAGACAGATAGATTATCACAAGTACAAAAGTGGAGTGATACATCAAATTTAAACTGGAAATTTGTCCACCTCTTCACAACCACATTAACCACTAATAAGTAAAGGACAGATTATCAAGTACACAAGTGGAGTGATACATCAAATCTAAACTGGCAATTATCCACCTCTTCACAACCACATTGATGAGGGTGGCTTACATTTCTTATTTTCTTTCCGTGGATGCATCGATCCATCTTTGTGTTTTCCAGCAGCCTTAACCGCCTCATGAACTTGTCACTGCTTATTATATTCCTCATCTTCACGATGCCAGCTATCATTCTTGTCTTCCTTCTCTGCACTCATCTGAACAACTCAATCATCTTCCATTTCAACATTGAAGATGTGAGCCTCCAGTGTCTACTTCCAGCTGACGTGAAACAAAGAGGTATAGACTGACATTTATGAAAACAGATAATGCAGTAAAAAAAAAGAGAGAAATAAACCGACTTAACAAAATCATTATCCATGGAGGGGGGTTATATGAATATATATACATCACAAACACCATGTAATAAGAATGCCATTTTTCAAGGGCAGTTACTATATTCCCTCATATTATTTTGGTAGATATATATATCTATATATGTGACGTGATTATGACGGTATGACCAGAATTAACGGGCACATACGTAGAAAAGATATTATAATTACCTGTCATATGCTCAGAAGCCCCTGAGTCAATGACCCACTGTCGAGACGCAGAAGAAACACAAGCAACTGAATTACCTGTTTGGACATTTCTGTTTTAGAGAGAGTTGCTCTTAGTCTTACATTTCTGTTTTGAATTATGTGGCCTAGTAGTATTTAGCCTATGTATAAATAGGTTCTATCTTGTACAGTTTTCACAGTGAGATATATACACAGTTTCATAGTTCAACACTTAACAGCTTTAAAACTATATACATATAGAAAGTTGATGTTTGTTTTGTTAAAACCATCAAGAATTTACCAAAGAAATATGCATCAAGAACAAGAATCAAAAGGGACTTGAGCTGCCCCGAAAGGTGTGGCTGAGTGAGTAGATCATGATTCTCGTACCAGAATGTCACGAGTTCAATTCTTGCCAACACCCTCTTGGTCAAGCCTGTCACACATGGTCTTTTTAGTGTAGTTTACCTCTCATATGTAGTTTGAGGGCTATTACACGAGTGAGGTTTATCCAGTGCACACGAGTTTCCCTCATCACTCAGAAAAAGGGACTCGAGTTTTGAATTAGTTATACCCAAAAAAAAAAGCAGCTTATGTTTATGATATAATAATTCGGACTATATTTGATCTGATGAGTGAGTTATGCAGTAGTCTGACCTGAAGCTGATTGGAAGCATGATATATTCATGGTGACCACAAACCTTGGCTATCCATGAAACAAAGCTCTGTGTGAAAGCCATTGAATAAAGAATATTATGTAACTTTTATACACTTCAACGGGATTCCCCTCTTGCTAAATTCAATGAAAATATCTTGGGCTTCTTCAAGCCGAGATGACTGAACCAGCAAATCTATAAATGAGTTACATGTCTGGGTATCCGGAGTGCACCCATTTGCTTCCATGGAGAAAAGTAAGCCCTTAGCTTCACCAAATCTCCCTAATCTACATAATGCCTTGATAAAAGCACTATACGTATAATTGTCGGGCTTCAAGTCCAAGATCAACATGCTTCTGAGAAGCCTTTTCGCCTTCTCAATCTTATTCGTTCTACAAAAACTTTCGATTAAAGCATTGAAGGAGAAAAGATCCGCGCTTATTCCAACACCTTGCATCTCCTTTAACAACTCCATTGATCTACCAACATCCCCGGTAACACAGAGACCCCGGATTAAGATGTTGTATGTTGTTGCATTTGGGCAAACGTCCCATTCGGCCATTTCCGTGAAACACTCAAAAGCATCTTCGATAGCATGTGCTCTACAAAGACCATCGATTATAGAGCTAAATGTGTAGACGTCTGGCTTAAAACCACGCTCCAATAGCATCAGTAGCAGCTCGCGGGCCCGGGTTAGCTCGCCTAACTTGCAATGCCCGTCAATAAGCGTATTGAAAGTAACGAGATTAGGACGAATACCACTTTTGAAAACCTCTGTTGCTCGCCCCATCATCTTATTTTTGCAGAAGCAGTCGATTATCATATTGTACGAGAATGTGTTAGATACAAGTCCTTCTTGGAACATCTGCTCCAAATAACGATTGCCTTCTTCTATTCTTCCCGACTTGTAAAGAGCCCCGATGAGCAGAAGATAAGTATCAAAAGCCACCTTCAAACCTCGGTTAGCAAAAAAATCTAGCATCTCACAGATCACATCAATCCCTAGTCCCTTGATTAAACAATTTACGGTAAGACTAAACGTTGCACTATCTGGAAAGTAACCCTTTTTCACCGATTTTCTTAGAAATTCAGCTGCCTCCATTGGCAAGGAATTATCACAAAGACAACTTAACATAGCATCACAAACAACTTTAGGCAATCCCGGTTCCTTATCTAGCCATCCGGATAACATTTCAAAAGCCTCGCTCGGTGGTAAATGACGAAAAACTCCTCCAACCAGTGCTCTCAGTGTAGCTTCATTTGGAGCGACATTCCTACTCTTCATTGTCTGGATTATCTGAAAAGCCTCGTTTACTCTATTTGCATTACAGAACCCGTCAATCAAGATTGTATATGTAAATACATTGGGCGAATATCCCAAGCCCTCCATTTGCTTCACTAATCGAAGTGCTTCATCCATAACACCGGCCTTAGAAACTCCATGGATGAGGATATTATAGGTATACCTATCCGGGATACAACTATCCACCTCCATTTGCTGGAACTTAAGATAAGCCAAGTCGAGCAAATTCGACTTCACTGATGCATCAAGCACTGCATTATACAACCTAGTACTAGGACTAAGACCCAAAAAGGAAACCTGTTCCAAAACCTGGGCAGAATACTTAGCCAATCCCAATCTTCCCCAACTCCCAATCAAAACACACAACAAATCCTCATTAATTCTATTCCCAGAATTTCGAATATCCTGAATCAATTCAGCTGATAACAAAAGTGGTCCCTTTCTATATAGGGCATTGGCTAGGACACCACGAATCGACTGGTTTTTTGTAAAACCAACGTTAATACTAGAAACCCAAACATAAAACCTCAAAGGGAGTAATGGGTTGTCTTGATTTTGCAGGACACTAATAATTGATTGAGGGTTCAAATGGACCCGTTTAGCTTTAAACTCGTGGTTGAGCAGCAAGTACCAGTCTTTTCTTGGGAGAATTTGAGAAATTAGCAGAATATCAATGGGCTTTTGAATAGACTTGTGTGCCCTAGCTTCTTCAATGGGAGATTGCAAGTAGCGGGTAGGGGTTTTCAATTGAGAGGCCGGAGAAGAACACTGACCTGATGCCGCTAAAGAACCAGTTTTTGAGGGTTGCTGAGGATTGGGTTTGCTTGAATTGCGGTGTTGGTCGGATAGATTTCTGATCGCGACCGAAGCCAAAGAAGATAGCTTTTTGGGCCTTTGCAGAGAAATGGCAGCTCTTCTTCCACCTGAAACTGATACGGCCATATGCAAGACTCAAAGCAGGGTTTTTTTTCCACTTCTCCGTTTTACATATTTTTATATATATAGTGTCAATTAAATTTTTTATTTACCATTATGTTAAATGGAAAATACTACTTGTATTTTCAAATTCTACTCCTAATTTTTGCTCCCTTTCACAAATCTTAAATGTAAACAATTGATTTGTAAACATATCCATGCTTGTCATACCAGGGAGTATAATTGACGGGTAGAATTTGGGAGTCCCCATAATAGACTCATGTCAAATATTAGGATTCGATTTTTAGTAGGAGCGCCTTATTAACGTTTTTAGTTTGAGTTGGTGTCAATCTAAGTTGCTTTACCTTATTGTAATTTTTTGTTGATTAGAATTACAAAGGCAAGGACTTCAAAAAAAAGAATTACAAAGGCAAGGGTCAAAGTTTATCTAGTACACACTTTTGAGTAGTAACTACAAATTTTTTCATTACCGAAAAAATATATTGGATATAGATGAGAGATGCCAAATTTGTTATATTCGTAGAAAATAAATAAATTTTCATATAAATTAAATGATAATATGTGAATTTGTGTAGCTTGATCTTCCAATTGATTGCACTAGAGTAGGGTGATTGTTGTTGTAGTTTCATTAATGCTTTCTTAGAGCGAATGTTTGAGAGAGAAGAGTGGAGAGAAGGTTTGAGTTACCCCGCAAGAATTTGATTTTTTTGTGAGTCCCGCATAAGAGAGAAACAACAGAAGAAAGGCATAGTGTTACACATTTGGCGCACATACAGTGCCCAACCGTGCGTGTTAGTGCCCCAGCCGTACACGTGCAGTGCACACGCCAGCTGACGCGTTAATTGTTTTGCTTTTTTTTTTTTCCCTCCCTTTTTGGGTCAGATTTGCTTTTTCTTTTTTCTTCCCCCTCTTTTTTCTTCTTCTCTTTCCCTTTTCTTTAATACATGACATGCAAAAACCAATGCTAAAATCCAAACTAATGAAGATGCTCTAATAGTTGGTTTAATAATTCAAGTAAGAAGTGTTTGATTTTCTTTAAATAAAGTTTAAATGGAAAGAATTTGATTCTCAAGTAAGGTTTCAAATTCAACCCTTGTGAACAGAGTTCAGCTGTTAACAGAGTGGGTAACTATAGTAACTCGAGTTTGAGAGGTGTTAATGAGTTATACATATAAAGTATACCCAATAGCCCTGCTAAGATTATACAAGTCAAAAACAAAGTTGAATGCCAAGAATTTATACAAGTCACAGTAAAAAACCATTACCCAATAGCAATTCTAGCAAAAACTAATGTAGTATAGTGTGTGCAGGTAATCAAATGTTGGGACACAATAAACAAATAATTTAAAAGAATAGTGATGTCCTTTTTTCTAATTCTTGCCTTCCTGGTTGTAGAAGGATTCATAAGTTGCCACCCTGGTCTTAGAATCTGGTTGTTCCAGTTCTTCCATAAATCCCATTGTCATTTTCATGAAGTCTTTCATGTGCAATATCTTCCATTCCTGTTAAAACATGCAGATTTAGAGAGGAAGAAAATGATGTCACAATGAACATGAAACTATGCACTATTATGAAAGAAAGACACTTTAAGGGCACACAACACTTCTGCTTTAAGTGTCTTTTTCAAAACCTGACGATGAATCTTACTAAGGTTTTTCATGTTTCCGAGAATTTTAACAGATACAGATAAAAATGAACTTCTTTCTACAAAAGCCTCCATAAGAAAACAAGTCAATGAAGCTGGCGGGTAAACAAGATGGCAAATTACCTCGAAGTTCCACTCCCCATACAAGTTTGGATCATTCTTGTCAACCCAAACATATGCATCAGCCTGCAAGATCTGGGAACTATCCTGCAAAAACCGAGAGACCCATGAATCCATGATTAAGCAAGCAGAGTTGGGACTAAATTAAATGGGAAAACTGGCTCTTTTGAGCAAAATTAGAATGCGCAAGTAGCTTCAAATTATTTAAAAAAAAAAAAAAAAAAAAGAGTACAAAATGTTCAAGTCTGCATCTTCCTAATCATAGAGCACGGTTATCTCTCAGGATTCAGGACACACTATTGAACTCTTTTCCCAACTAGTTCTTGCAGTACTGTGCGCAGCACAGTGAACAGTGAACGCATTTTGTTTGGTCTTATTGTTATTCTAAGTTTCTAACATTAAATATGGGGTCTCTGTCATAAGTTTAAGGAGATTCAGATATTTCTGCAGTTTTGTAGTGCACGTGGCTTGAGAAGAACATTCAAATTTTCCTAGGACAACACTTGTTCTTAGAGTGCCTATGAGATATAGTGATTTTGCTCTCCTTTTGATAGTGCAAAGAGGACTAGTAGATCTTCAGTAAGATTTAAACACATTGTTAAAGTAATTCCTCAATTAATAAAAAAGAAGGCATCTCGTCCTCCTTTGTTTTACCTTTAAATCAATAAAATCTTGTCTAAAACAAGGCCAACACACATAATACGCTTGGCTCCCTCTATCTCAATTTTACTATCCTTTTTCACTTTCCAAGGGTCAAGTCAGCCCAACTTTGACTTGGTTTTTAATACATAGTTGCTATAAAATGTTTAGGTTTTAATTATTTAGTCAGATATTAATTTTCATGTGCTTTCATTATTATTTTGAAATATTGAATTTAGTATAAACTTTGTTAAATTGACCCAAAACAGAAAACATGACACAAAAATAGGGACAGGAAAAGTATATATTTCATATTTGAACATGGATATTTGTATGATACTCACCATCAGAGTAACATCGACTGTCCTCCTTTCATATTCAACATCCTCAAAGTTATCCAGGATATCAAACATGACACAAAAATAGGGACAGGAAAAGTATATATTTCATATTTGAACATGGATATTTGTATGATACTCACCATCAGAGTAACATCGACTGTCCTCCTTTCATATTCAACATCCTCAAAGTTATCCAGGATATCCATTTCAGGAAGAGTGATTCCCTGGAGAACCTGCAGGAAGTTCATTTTAAAAAATCAGATAGAATACAAGTATTGGTCAAGTCCAGAAATATATTTAGTGCATTGAACAACAAGAACATAAATATGTTCTCATGTTTAATGATTGTACATTAGATGCGACATTCACAGATCTCTATAATGGAATGATTATACTTGTTTCATTTAGTTTCTGCCCTTCATTCTAAGTTACAGCCCCTTCAGCAGCTGGCTATTTCTCAAAGGCCAACTCAAGGCCCACTCGCCCACCTCCTTCATACCTTTCTATTTACCTTCTTGTTTTATCAAAATACAAAATGTAAATAAGATCCTGGGATTTTTATTCGTATACATCAAATGAATTAGAGCATTTCTCTATCCATTTTTGTTCCTTTGTTTTCCTCATTTTATGCTTCTTTTATTTTTGTGGGAGCCAATACGAGCTCTGAAACCTACATTCTCCTTCAAAGGACAATGGTCAGGAATAACCAAAAACTCATTCATCAACACATATAACCATTAAATGAAAATCACATTGCCAAATAGAATTTAACATTAGTATCATCTGTTTCCATCAATAATATTTTGGAGGCTCAAACTTGTGTGACGTTTATTAATGATATATTTATGTATGTATATATATAGAGTATCATCTGTTCTTAAATATATTGTTCACTTGTCATTCTAACCAAATATTTTTTTTAAAAAAATAGCAGAAAAAATAAATGCTGTCATGACCATAACCAATACTGCAAAACTTAGAAGTCAAAAATTGCAAACAACCAGTTTCTGTAAACCATCATTAGACCTTTATCAGGAGAAATTGCACAAGCACTTAATGAACCCTTTGTTGATCGTAATTAACAAAAAGGTCAATAGGAAAGCTTCAATTACACTCAGTTGCCATATTAACCACCCATAAAAATTAGAAGGTAACTAAGCCAAACAAATAATTCGAAAGGTGATGAAATTTTTAAAGAAAGCAGATTTTCTTCAATAAGGACAAATGGGATGCGCCTACATATTTCTTAGATGCAAATTGCAATTATTCATCATTTGGCATGTTGGTATTATTTTAGTATGCACAAAAGTACTCAAAGGCAAAGATTGATGAACAAACCCTTCCATCAACTTTCTTATTTTCCACTGGTACAATTGCAGGATAAACGCGCCCCTTGATGCTAAATCTATGACTGCATAAAACATGGCAAGTAAAGTGCAAATTAGATATCTACAGGACCTGATTGAAATTTTCTTACTTCAACTAGGTTGATACAGAACTAAGAATGAAGACTTTGAGGATGCTCCAATTCCAACTATGCATCATTCATGTAATCATGTACCAGCTAAAACATGTAAGAATGCTTGTATTTCACTATTTTGGTTCATTTCAGATTAACACAATTTTAGAAGGTTAAATCTTGGTCAAACCAAAATGAAGCATTTCAAAATGATCATTACTGAATAGGTCGAATCAATTCAAGGAATCTTAAACAAAATTGAAGGAGGAGACTAATCCATGTAACGATTCTGAGAGAGACAGAGACAGAGACTAACAAATTATGGAGGGTAGCTGGGGAAGAAGGAGGAACGCGATTGAGGAGGACACGAACGACGTCGTCCGCCATGAGGCTTCCATACACGAAAACGCTGGAGATTGCCTGTGAATTCGCCATTGCTGCCAGCATAGTCCACAACTGATACTCTCTCTCTGTCCAAAATAGTTATCAGAGAGAGAGAAACTCAACGGATTCCACGTTGCCTGAGCATTATATATATAAACAATTATTATTATTATTTTTTAAAAGCTCAAATATGTCATTGAACTTGTATGGTTCGTCTTTAGGCCTGGCCTCTTAGGGTTCGCAAATTATGCCGTGGAAACGTGTTTACCGTGAATGGTGAACACAAGTCTAAACGACGTCGTTTTTATGCAAAAAAATAAAAAATAAAAAAAATAAAAATCGCGGATGTGGAGTTAACGCGCGTTTGATCAAATTATGAATTTTTTGTTATGAGATTATGAATGTAATGTAAATTCATAATCTCATAACAGAAAATTCATAATCGCATAAAAGTAAAATATTTATTAAATTATGAATTTTCTGTTATGAGATTATGAATTTTCTGTTATGAGATTATGAATCTATCATAACAGAAAATTCATAATTTCATAACAGAAAATTCATAATTTCATAACAGAAAATTCATAATCTCATAACAGAAAATTCATAATTTCATAACTGAAAATTCATAATTTCATGGTTCCGAAGTGAATGTGTAGGTATGGTTCCAAAGTGAATGTGCAGGCATGGATTCATAATTTATGAATGTCCGTGATTTGGGACGGGAATGTGTAGGCATGGTTCCAAAGTGAATGTGCAGGCATGAATTCATAATTTATGAATATCCGAAATCATTGCTCACCTCAAATTAAAGTGAAACCGCGAAATGTGAAAATGAAGAAGAAAAGTCACATTTGTTTCAAAAAAAAAGAAGAAAAGTCACACAATTAATTAAGAAAAAAAAAAGATAACGGTGTACTAACACCGTTGGAACCGTGTTCACCATGGTTCCATGGCATAACGATTGCTTAGGGTTTGAGTCAATCATTTATCTTAGTTTCTTTATATTAGTATAGGTCCAATCTCAAGGGCTGAGTATGTGTTATGGTCACTTTTGGACCATCAGTTGTAAGACATTTTAATTCCTTTGCTTAATAAAGTTTTGTTTAAAAAAAAAATAAAATTAAGGTATGCAAGGATTTCCATCTGCCATTTTCGATTCTCAACGTTGCTTCACGGATTCATTGTTGTTTCGTCGTGGGTTTGCTTGCTTCCATCATTGGGCTTGTTTGTGGTGGTTTGTTGTTAGGGAGTCGAAAGCTTTCCAGCGCAGCAACTTTCGGCGGCAGACTCGTATTACTTCTTCCGGTAACTGGAAAACTTTTTTGCACTGGTTGGAGTGAAAGCCATGAGACCTCCACACAGATGCAACATCTATCGTCCCAGTACTTGATTTTCCTTTTCCTCACACTTCTGCGAACTAAAGCAAATCGATTGAGCAATGCTTTGCTACACTTTTTCTCCAAAAACGCAAGAGTTATCCAATATTTCAATGTATTTATTTTCTTGACATTAGTGGCAGTAAAATCACGATGATCGATTTTGTTGCCTGTGTTTGAGTAGTTTCTACAATGAGGAAGTGTTTGCAATGATTGCTTATATTTCAATCGCTCATTATGGAGACACCTCTACAAATTGGCTTTTGCTTTGCCATGGCAACTTTTTCTTCTTCTTAAAAAAAAAAAAAAAAAAAAAAAAAAAAAAAAAAAAAAGAAGAAGAAGAAGAAGAAGTAATTAAGTCATTTAATTTATAGTTTTTTTTGTTGTTTTGGTCCCACGAGTATTGTGTCACTAACAACATTAATCCACTACTTTCAAAGCTTGCAAAAATGGTCCACGACTATCATTTTCTTAGTGCATTTAGTCCTTCCATTGCTTTCACCGTCCATTTTTAACCAGAAAAGAATTTTCTCCTTTATAACAGGGGTAAAATTGTCTTTTCCCTTTAAACAGTTCCTTTTCTTTCTCCCTTTATTCAGAAATGGTAAAAATCGAAATCTTAAGTCTGAGAAGTACTAGAATTTGGGTGAAGATGGCGTTGATCTTGTGGTAAATAAATCTTTTATTTTTTGGGTTTTTTCTTTGAATTTTACATTGATTTTCGTTAAAGATCAACAGCAACTTCATACAAATTCTAAGATTTCTCAGACTTAATTACAACAAATGAATAATGAACAGTGTCCCCAATGTCACCTTGTGGAAAAAGTACTCCTCTTTATCTATCACAAATCTAAATCTCGTATGCCCCTTCGGCGCTCCAAATCAGCACCGCCGCCACCATGGCTACCCAACCCCCGATGGAGAAACTCCCACCTGCAATTCCCAACAATTCAATTGATATTCCCTTTGAACACTCCGAGTAAAGAATCAAATATGAAGATTTCGATTTTTACCATTTCTAGATAAAGGGAGAAAGAGAAAGAATTGGTTAAAGGGAAAAGACGATTTTACCCATGTTATAAAGGGGAGAATTTTTTTCCGGTTAAAAATGGACGGCGAAAGCACCATAAAGACTAAAAATGCACTAAGAAAATGATAGTCGTGGATCATTTTTGCAAGCTTTGAAAATAGTGGATTAATGTTATCAGTGACACAATACTCGTGGGATTAAAACTGCAAAAAAAAAAAAAAAAAAAAAAAAAAAAAAACTCTTTAATTTAATATTAAAAATGTGTGCAATTGACATTATTTGTAGGTTAATAACAAATTTTCAAGCTCGAGCTTTAAATGTGTGCAATTGACATTTCATAACCGAGCCGAGCTCGAGCTATAATTTTCAAGCTCGAGCTTGACTCGGCTCGTTTACACCGTTAGGTGGGAGGATTAGTGTCTGGTGCCCACAAGAAGCTCATCACATTGAGTGGAACCCCTACACTACAACTGCTAGGGGCTCGATCCTGAGTCCTCACCCTCAATCTACCACCTGAGTAAGCGAGTACCAGTACCGACTGGGTTGTTCATGCGGGTTTAATGATTCTGTTTCTTGCATTTTATGGAATGCTTTTGCACAGTGCACATTGTAAACTCAGAGAAATTTACATTGGGGATGACTACTTTCTTTATGAATCTTGTGTGTTCATTGAAATGTCCAATATATTACAATACCTTTCTTTCACTGCATAGCAGTAAGACTCTCACCTGCAAATCTTTGCACTCTATCCCTACTTGTGTGATGCTCCAATCTGTGAAACTATGGTGACAAGAAAGCGGAGAAAATGTTGGATTATGCATAAATCCTTGTACTGACCATTCGTTCGAGATTACGCTCCCTTCATCTTCATCTGCTCGCCTTGTTCCCGTTTAGTGTAATCCAAGCTCCCTTCATCCAAGTGCCCGCACTTCTGCAAAACGAGAAGTGATTATATATGTTACGATAGTAAAGAAAGAGTTTCTGAATGTGCTGTCGTATACTGTCTTATACTGTCATATAGAAAAGAGAATACAAAGCCCTATAAATAGATGCTAGAAGTTTCCATATGCCTTACCTACCTAAATCCCTAAGACTGTCTATAGAATCTATAGAGATTCCAAATAGTATATCTATATTCCATAACAATATACTTCCCACGATAAGGAAGGGCTATTCCTTCTCTAGGGCGACTTACAAAATTTCAGTCCTCTCAAAATGGAATTGATGCAGTCGTGGTGACACTTTCAAGCAGCACATTACATCATCGATCGGTCTACAGCTTCTGATTCTGGTTCATCGTGGATAGCATACGGAAAACCGGTGTCTAAATGGATATTCCCATCCAAACCATCACTTCCATCGACAAGGTCATCACTATCATCGAGTTCTGGTTCCGATTCATCTAGGGCATCATATGGAAAGTCGGTTTCTAAATGGATACTCTCACTTCCATTGACAGGGCCATCACTACCATAACCTTCAAGATCTGCTTCTTCCTGTTAATTTTGGAGAAAAAAACAAACCCGGGAAGAGAGCGTGAACAAATATGCCCATGTGTTGATTTTGGAAGATGGAATGGCCTGGCGGGTGGAGAATAACAACCACCCACCAGTTAGACGGAAGCACAGATGAAGAATCAAGGAATGGAAAATGTATAAAAGACTGAAAGATATAGAAAATGTATGATTCCATATTATCTGTGTGTTTCTAATAAAGAAACATAGTACATAGATATATACAGACACATAACTGTAAGTACCTATCCATAAACCGACACCTATTCATAAACAGACACAACTCTATAGATAAACCTAACTCTTTATTTTTCGACACCATGCAATAGAAAAAACAACTCTTTCATTTGATTATAATAATCTATGAGAAGAAATGCTAACCTCGCTCTCCTCGTCTTCAGTAAGATAAGCTGAATCTAGTTTGTCATATAGTTCTGTGTCTCCATGGTCTTTTACACTATCCATTTGTTCCTTGTGAAAAAAAAAATAAAAAAAAAATTGAGCCAATTCCACAAAGGATACAAAGAAAAATACATAAACGAGAGATGAGACGTACAATTTCAGCCTTCAGCTGATTTACTCGTTTCTGAACAGTTGCAATATGATTCAAGAGAGCCTATTTCACCAAATTATTAGGAAAAAAAAAAAAAAACATTACTTAGCTGTCAAGAATACCAGTTCATGAAAAAATACATAAGGCCTTTTGAAAAGGTTGTAGAATAGTGTAGGGGTATAAATGAGCCGAGCAGCTCGCGAGCCGCTCGGTCAAAGCTCGGCTTGAGCTAGGTCAACTTCGAGCTCGAACCGGCTCGTTTCGTAATCGAGCCGAGCTTGAGCTCAAATATTTTAGGCTCGTGGCTCGTCGAGCTGCTCGGCTCGAGCTCGGTCAACTTCGAGCTCGAGCTGGCTCGTTTCATAACCGAGCCGAGCTCGAGCCTACCTATTGCTTATCGAGCTCGGCTCTGCTCATTTACGCCCCTAGAATAGTGTAATAAGAGCGTACCTCACGCCGTTGGAGCTCAATTGAACGTGCCAAAGCCTTCCTCTTTGTTAAAAGATTTTTTGGTCGAAGTGTAGATGGGCGTTGATAGTCCTTACCACGAAATACAATTACCGCATACCCTTTGGATACTTTGTCCACCGAAACCAAGACACCACCACTCTCGACTTCGAGGGCTAAGGCAATACTTTTTACCTGAT